ATAGATTTAATATATTATTAATATATTAAAAAAGTGAGCTATCATTTTAATAATATATATATTAGAATTTTTAGAAAAAATTATTAATTAAAATGTTATATAAGCAAAAAAAAATAAATTAATATTTAATAGTATGAAAAACACTTTGTACAAAGTATTCATCGAAATATTTATTATTTGCCAAATGTTTTCATCAACGTAATTGTAATTTAAAAAAAAAAAAATTTTTTTAAACGTATTTGTAATTATTTAAATGATTTTTTTTATTTGAAATGTAATTGTATTTATTTATATCGAATTATTTATTTTTTTTAAATTTTCCCAACCCTGAAGTCAGCCCTGCTCATCCCAACATTTAAAATTCATCCGCCCACCAGTCTACGCCGGAGACCTTTACTACCGCTACAATAGTTTTCGATATCGCTACATGATTTGAAACGGTATAAAAAATAAGGTGAAAAATGTCTATAAAGGAATCAAAGACCTGTAGAAGACAAATTTTGAAACCGGCACAGACCCCTCTCTCCCTTTCACCGCTATTAAAATTTTTCAAAAAATTTGTTAATTTATCATATCTTGTAAATGATTTCAAAAGGGAAATTGAAAATACAAGAAATGAATGAATGATAAATAAATAAATCCATTATATCATTTTCAACTTAGTTAAATTGTAACAATCTAAATTTTTAACATAAATTTGGCCCGGGTCAGATTTCATGATACTTTTTTGTTAAAATTTTAATTCTGAGCCCAGCATGGGATTGCCATTTTAATTTATTCTTCCGGATTTTTTTTAAAATTAAGATCATGCCACCCAAAAGCCTTGAATTAGACGTCTCTAAACAGAATATGGACCCAAAATTATATCAATATTATTAAAGTAGAAAATAAAAATTGTCTACCATTTTGATAATTTGGTAGTATTGTTTAAAAGAGCTCGATTTTTTTTAAAAAAAGGCTAACCCAATATTTTAGTCAAAAAATATTCCGCAAGCCTGGAGAGTTCATAGATGACAGCAGTGTTGCTAAAGGGACCTATTTTTTTAAAAATGGCCCTATTACGATTTTAAGTAAAATATTATGTGAGTCTTAAGATTTTGCTCATAGATTGCAAAAAAAAGGTTTAGACTTCTATTTGCTAAAAGTTTGCATCATATCATTTGTCGTTTAAAAAAATCAGGCCGGTTAATAACACTAGATGGTAGGAAAGAAAGTTTGGATATATCTTAACGAAACGTTGAGGTTTGCGAAATATTAATCCGGCTAAAATTTTAATTTATAAAATAACATTACTAATTTCTTTTATATAAAAAAAAAAAAATTGTTTCTTAAATTTAAAATTTTTTTCAAATAATACTTAACAAGACTCATTGATATTAGATAATAAAAATATTGATAATTTTTTTTTCAGACCTATAGGCTAGGAACTCGACCCGCTTAAACTCGAAAAATATTATGAAAACCGAGTAGGGTTCAATAAAATACGAACCGGCCTGATTTAAGAAAACTGGACGAATTAAAATCAGTCGGAAAATTTTATGACGCAGTGCTTGATAATTAGTTTTACTTCTCATCTTTCAATTTATTCTTTGTGAAACATATTTGGCAAAATACAAGCTAACATTATAAAAAAAAAATGGCAAAATTTCCAATGTGATCACGTACCGGGGTTGGAAGGTAATTTCTTTAATTGCAATGTTAAACCGAGAGATCTACGGAGGGTCTTAATTATTGATAACTAAACTTACAGTTAAAAGGGGCATACACTGATGTCTGTCCGCCATTAAATGACATTTAAATCAAATTTGAAAAACATTTTGCCTAAATGCATTTTAATTGAGTTTTAACCCATTGACTGCAGCTGACTTCAATATCTATACACTTTTAATAAATGATTCATCATTCTAGGTTAGTATAAATGTCATTGAGAGTTAACCATTTCCTCTGTTTATATATCTGATCCTCAGAGACTGATCAACGTTTCTTTACAAAGTTTGTGCCATGTTGTGCTATAGTGTTTTTTTCCCCAGATTATGCCGAAATTTTAAAATGTTTGAAATTCAGTTAATGCAAAGATTGATAACTTTTTATAATATTTATAAAGGTTCAAAAAATATTTTTTTTTAGACTTTTTGCTTTAAAAAATAATAATTTTGGACACTAGAGATTAGGGAATGAATATAGCTAATTTTTAAATAAAAATCTACAATGAAATATGTTACAATTTCATCGCATTTTTAAAATCAAAAATGTTTTTTTTATTTGCAAAATTTCCTATTAACTTTTCAATATTCAAATTTAACGCAACAAGTGTTTACTTCCCTAGAGCATCTATTAATATTAATTACAAATATACCTTAAATTTTTTTTAGGAGATATAAAGGGAAATTCCCAATTTATTTTTTGTTCTTAACGATTTGGAGAACCAAATTTACTAGTTGCCCCGAGATGATTCCCGTTAAAGCCCATGCCCAAGATTGCAGCAAAAAATTTTTAAGCCCGGCCCGGTCTTTTAAAATTATATCATTTTGACTGCTCTGGTACAGATCTACAGATATCTGATATAATTTGCAATCGATGCTTTTAATTAAGAATTTTTTTTTATATCTAAGGTCTCATTTATAGTAAACGCGATTTGTTCAAGCGGTGCGGTATTAAACCCTGTCAAAATCACAGCGATTAGAAGTTTTGAAAAATTCGTCTCAAATTTATAAATTATAACTTGGCTTGATTTTGTAAATAACGCAGCGTTTAATATCGCACTGCTTTAACAAATCGCGTTTACTATAATTGTTAGCGTAAGGCAGTTTCTTCATCGTAATTATGGTCCAATTCAATGCTATTACATTTTTTTGGTTAGAAAATCTAAATCATACCAACATAGTTAGATTAAATACATATTATTTACAAAATAGTCTTAATCATTCTGGTCTCCGTAAAAAAAAATATTTCAAAGAATAAGATGTTTTGTATTTTAATTTTTATGCCATTTAAGAAAAATTATGTATCTCGCAAGAGTATCGAAAATAAAACACTGAGACCTTTCACATAATTAATAAATTATAACGGCATTCGTAATTTTAATTTTAAAAAGAATTATTTTATACATTTTTTGAATCAAAATAAAAAATATTATGTATCATATATATATATATTAGCGTTAATGTGTCTTTTCCGACAATGTGTTATTTTTTCTACTTTAAAACCAATTTTTTTAAATTTAAAAAATCGGATTTTGAGGGAAATGTATTCTAGCATGTTTAGAATATCTATCTTATGAATCGTAGATAATTTTGACGTTTGAGTCATTCATAATTTATATTAAAAAAAATAGGTATTCCAAACATGATAGAATACATTTCCGATAAAATCATTGCCGGAAAAAAACAGATTGACCCTAACATATACAATAATTTTAATCGGAAAAGGGGTATCTTTTTTTGGTAATCTCGGTTTCCCAATATTAACTTTTTTTAAAACTTATAACTTTTCTTCTTACAATTTGAATCTTAAAGGCTTTAATATATGTTTTAATATAAAACATATATGATCTGTCTGATATTCCCCTAATAATTTTTTTTAAAAAATAATCCTCTTCATAAAAAAAAAAAATTTGGGAATATTTTTTTCGGGGGAAATGTTTTCCGTTTAACCTCTGTTATGACAATCCTAAACGAACTTAAAACTGTGGGAAAATAGGGATAGCGAACAAAGATCACATCGAGGTATTACGAGCGTAACTAAAAGAGCGGGGTAAAAGGTGGACACACTTTGTAAGAGAGTAAACGTGATCTGCATAGTAGAGACAAAATGGAAAGGAAAAGGTGTAAGAATGATTGGGATGAATAAATTTAACGCATGGACCTGCGGAAGTCGTAATTTTAGATCCTCTACGCATTTCAATTCTTTATCTTCAAGCTCGTTTCCCTCCTTAAAGAGGCCCCAATTTTAATATTTGATCATTTTATAAAGGTCGGAATTAAAATTTTGAATAATCAATGTGAGCACGAAAATGATTATTGAATTCTCCATTATAAGATTTACCCATTGATTATTTGATATTAATTTTTTTTTTGTAAAATATAAAAATTGGTCTCGTCCAGTTTTTCATTTTTTTTTTAAAACTTTTAAACCCGACCCACACTTTTAAATATTTTTAAAATTTTTAGGCCAAGTGCCTCACTATTAAAAGTCATCTCATTTTTGGCTTCAGGGGCAGCCAATCAGATCGAAATCCTACAGAACATATAGATAATGGGTGACACCTTACGACAGTTGAAAATCGAAAAATGTGATTCGAGGGAACTGAACTACCTAAGTAAAAAAAATAACAAGCTACAAAGCCAAACACTGATAACATGGTGAAATGACATATTCGGCGTTACATAATGCTATGAACGCGTTCCTTTCTGATGGTTACTCCATCCTAGTATGTTTCGGGGCGCGCATATTTGATAACAATAATTCCTAAATTGAGAGAAACAAAAAAATTCGTAACTAATTTCCTTGAGCTAAGACAGGCTATGAAAGAGGAAGGATCTTGTGGTATTGGAAAGGATATAATGGGGAAAAATTTTTTATATCACTAGATTCTTAGAAATAGGCTTTATCAAGATTTTAGCCAACAAATATTCTATAAGCCTAAAGATTTTACCAAGAGATCTTTAACCTGTCAGTCATCTTTTGCAGAAATCTTGAAGATCATGTAATATTTGTTTTGGCTAAAAATCTTGATTTCGCCGTTTTTTTAAAAAAATAATAAGCTAAATCGATATTATTACAAGAATAGTTAACCTGAAAAAAAACCGATAATATAATATAAATTTGTTAATAAACAAATTAAAGTTGTGTATTGTAGACAACATATCTAATTTATCAATTTAAATCAAAACATCTCTGCCAATTCAGGATGTTAAAATATATTAATCTGAACCAACCACAACAAATCTAAGAATATTTCATTGACTACATAATTTTATTTGTTTTTAAAGAAATAAATGATGATTAATTCTAAACTATCACTACATACTTTATGACGACCTAATAAAATATTGCTAAACGCCGAATACAATTTTTTTTCTTCTTATAACACATTTTTACAATCATAAGCTATTAGTTTCATATGAATAACTCTCGTAAATACGGTCGAACAAGTCCTTGCAGTGGATTTTGACACCGAGTTTAGAGCATATAAGAAAAGCCCCCGCCATTTTCCGGTGTAAGGATAGACTTTCCTCCGGTGGAGCTTTCAGTCTATGTTTCAGAAGGATTGGCATAAGATTTTGTATTCTTCGGGTCACGTTATGATTGGAAAAATCGAATTCTTTGTCCGTGGCAAAGGCTTCCCCTAATATTAGGACAGCTTCGACGTGGGATTCTTGCATTATCTTATTTGTTTTTACCGGTTATAATTAAATAATTTAATAGATATCAGAGGGCTGCAATGGTCCAGCGAAAAGATTTTAAACATTGGGCGAGTGAGCGGGAGAATTAAAAAAATATATGGGCGGACTGGCGTTAGGATTAAAACCAGCTCATTGCAATCCTCAGATATATCCCCTTTTAAAAATGATTTCATCATGAAACTTTACAAATAAAAATGATCAAAATAAAAAGAGAATTTTGAGTAAAATTTATGAGCATTAGAAGATCTGCAAAATCAACATTTTTCCAACCCCGAGTATAAATTTTTTTTAAGAGAGGATTTGTAGAGAAGAAATTTCAAACTTTAAAATAAATTGTTTTATTCTTTAATTTTTAATGATGTTTATCAATTATCATTCTATTTATTATAATAATATGATTATGAAAAATGAATAGTAAATATATATACTTTTAAATTTTCAGGAAGAATAGAAAGGAGGTAATATGACAAACATTTTTGGGGCCACGGGCCCGAACATATGCCTGGCAACCAATATTAAAAAACCCAAGAATTAAGGGAATATTGTACTGGTTTCTAAAATATCGGGATCGGTTTAAACAATATTTTCTATTTCTTGTTTTTAAGTATTTATTTTTAATAAAATTATTAATGAATCAAAAGTATATAAAGGATAATAAATTATAAATAAAACTTCAATTATATTTTGAATAAACATGATAAGACATAAATTTTTTCCTTCTGAAAAAAAGTTTTTTTTAAGAGGTAAACTAGAAGGCTGGAATTATTATATTTTTTTTTTGATTTAATTTTCATCAATCCAAAGGAATTTAATCATTAGAAAACTGTAGCTTCGTCAATATACTTGCATAATTTCTAGGCTATCCTTATTTACGATAATCGCTTTCTTCAACCTTACATATTTTATTTTTTTTTAAAAAAGTCACTTTCTTGGATTTAATTTGTCATTTAAAATGAAATTATTATTTATTTTATACATATCATATTCATCCGTTAGATATCTAATGAGCAAGAGGAGTCATAGGCTTTTCAGGAGGTGCTAATTAATTTGTTAAAAAGTGTCTATTTACTGAATGTATAATTTTCCTAAGAGCTTCGCTCTCCTTACCCATTGGAGGGGCTTTGGCCCGCCCTCAGGTCGGGTTTATGTCCCTAGATTTTATTTTTATTTTTCTATAATTAATTATAATGTAGATACATTCGTTAATCAAAGGAATATCTGACCTTACACACTTTACCTTCATAATAGTGGGCATAAATTTAGCGTTTCAAAAGATGCGTTGCAAGCGCAAATAATGCATTTCAAATGGCTATCGTGCAAATTGGTAAAATTACCGTTTGGCGTTAACAATTTTAAAAAACGTAAATAGGTTTGCTTTTTTCATTACTTTTTTTTTATTCTTCGCCTAGTAATATTACATAAAATGTAAGAGAAATAACTTACATCCTAAAAAGGAATATTTAGAATTAAAAAAAATAAGAAGGCAGACGATAATATAATTATCAAAGACAAATCCTTACTTTTAAAAACTTCTTTAAAATTTTGAATCGACGATATTAATAAAAAAGGCAACCTCAATTTAAACACGAGGGATGCGTCACGTTTTTTATATTAAAAAATCAAGGCAGTTAAAATAACCCCAAAATTTTGCTTTTTCTTTCAGATAAATTGGAAAATAAGCAAAACTTTTTGTATACTCAAAAAATCAGCACGAAAATGAATGTATATTGAATTTTAATAACTTTAACGTTTTCTTATGTATTAGGTTCTAATTCATTTTGATGTGTAGGATCATATAATTATATTGATAGGTTATTTACTTTATACCAAGATATATAATATCTATCGATTTCGCATTTTCTTAAGGCGAAAGGAAGAAAATTTAAAATAACAAAAAATGATTATGTCACATGGAAAGTGATGTTTAGATTTCAAGATTGCTATTTATATTTAATGGGTGCTAATATGTGATGCGTTAGCACCCAAGGCACTTAGATAGCAGGGTTCCTGGTAATGGAAGGTGTAGAAAGCATTGTCTTTTAATAAGTGTCTTGATCAGGGATCGAAAAGAAGCGAATATCGGTTCGGTTAAGGTTTGAATAAAAAAAATGGTTTGTATAGAATAAAAATATCGGTTCGGTTTAAACCTCAAAAAATCGGTTTGAACACAAACCTCATTCGAATTATTTTTTATTTCATTATTAAATTTTAAAAAAAACACACAGATATAAAACAAGTGTTTATTTTTTATTAATTGTACATTATAAAATAATATTTAATTTATAAATATAAAAAAAATAAATATAAATTAATTTTAATATTCAAAAATATTTATTTGCTTAAAAAAATTTTTTTTTATTAAAGCCGTACAATTTGATAAATTTTCAAGATTCATCTCACTTAAATTATACCTATAATGAGATAGTATAAATTTAATTGTCGAGAAACATCTATCTTGCCATTCTAATTTAGGGTCGCGGCACTGCCAATATATTATCAGACAATTTATATAATTCATGGTTAAAATATTCGTGTTTAACCTAGGTTCTTTAGAAAAATTAACTAAAATATCTCTGATATTCTCCGATTTTAGTAATAGATTTTGTTTGTTATGATCCTTTTTTTAAAGAAGAGTTTCTAATAAATCCTTGTCAGATGAAGATTTATTCAGTGCTGCTAATTCACCTTCACTAGAATCCCCCACTCTTATAACAAAATTTAATTTCAATGTTACGCCATATTTTAAATAATATGTTCCCTAGCTTTGAGTTTTTCTTCTTCAGTTAAAAGCACTTGATATCTCATAATAAAAATTATATATTATCAAAAAAAAATCTCATTAAATTTTATGAATGGATATAAAAAAATAAGGTTAAATAAAATTATTATAAGGTATCAAATTTAATAATTATTTTAAAAAATATACATTAAATCTAGATATATGCATGACAAAAAAATGGAATTATTCTTTAAAAGTTGTGTCTATCTAAAATTCGTTGCATCTATCAATGAATGAACAAAAGGTGAAGTAAATATAGAAATTTATAGTTTAGCTTTATTAGCCATATTCCATAAAGGTCTCTTAAAGTTAGCTACTCGAGTTATATTTTTTTTGGTACCCACTTTAATTAGTTTTGGGATATTTGTTAACTCTATAATTGCTTCCAATTCCCAAAACTGTTTTAAAAAAAGTTGCGTGATTCCTGATAATTCCTCACAAATATCCTTTATCTGTATTTTGCATTTGTTCCTCTTCGTCATTTTCAGACATTTGATTGTCAATATCATCACCATCCTCCATAAATTTTTTTTTACCATCTATTTGAGATTTGCAATTATCAATCTATGACATGCTGGCGAAATTGAATGGATTGGGAAGCAATTATAGTTAATAAATATCCTAAAACGAATTAAAGTAGCTACCAAAAAATCAATTTGAGCAGCTAACTTTAGCGAGATTTTATGGATTGGCTGAAAGCTATACTAAAAATTTCTAAATTTATTTCACCTTTTGCTGATTCATCAATAGATGCAATGAATTTTGCAGACACAACTTTTAAATAATGCCTTTTTGTCATGCATATACCTAGACTTAGGGTATATTTTTTTTTAAATTATTATTAATTATTTATATAATTTCATTTTACCTTATATATAATTTTAAATTATATATTTTTTATATCTATTCATAAAATTTAATAAATATTTTTTAAAATTTTTATTATATAGATATCAAGTGCCTCTAACTGAAAAAAGAAAACCCCAAACAAGGTAACATATATTAAAATATGGTTTAACATGGGATAAAACTTTGTTAAAAGAGTAGGGGATCCTAATGACGTGAATTATCAACAGTGATTGGATCTTCATCTGAAGAGGATTTATTAGAAAGGCTAATTAACCCCATCTTCGGCCAGTAAAAATTTGTGAATTTTTCAAAATTTTATTTATTCTAATATAACAAATAAATCATAAAAAAATCTGCGCGAAATAAAGCATCATAAATAGAAAATATAAACCGTTTCATTTATGCAATGCTCTCTGATCATTAGGGAGTAGATAAATAAGATAATACTATATTATTGGGAAAAAAATTGAAAATAACAATATTGATTTTCAAAAATTATTGATGATATATTTTACATTTATTAGATATGATATTGTAAATTTTTTATTTTGCTTAATATTTTAAGTGAAAAAAAAAATTTTCCGATTCTCAAAGAAGATTTTGTCAAACTCGACTTCCGGTTATAAAGTAATGGGCCTTTTAAAGAAAAAAGTTTTACTTATTTATCCTTCAAACAATATCTAAACATAATGATGAGTTTTAAAAAAAAATTTTAATCAAATTAGGCAATAAATTATTTTCTTTGTTAAATCCGCGTTTTTCCCTACGCCGATCATTTAACGACGTTTTTAAGTGCCCTTAACTGAAGAAGCGTTTCAATGTTGCTAATTTAATCATTCATTTCGGAAAAAAAATCTGTTGTAAAAATTAACACGGAAACGCTTAATCGTTAAATATATGATTGAAAGATATTCATTAGGGGAGGGGGGGGGGGGTGATAATTTGATGCGTCATACAAAAACATCAACTTTAGGTTGGTAAAAAAAAATAAACATTTTCAAATTTACCTTTGTTTCGTGACCTGTCAAAAATCCCAATTCTTCTGATAGCCTCAAAATAGAAGCTCTGTCGGCTTGAGCCGACGCTTTGATCAATCGAAGATAAATATCGACGAATTTTTTGTCGAATTGTCGGCAAGCCCCGAAATCTAAGAGCGCTACCCTATGGGTCTCGGGGTCGTACAAGAAATTCGACCAATTAGGATCGGTTTGCATGAATCGAAATTCGAACACTTCTCTGAGACATAGATTCAAAATATTTCTTTGTGGGGGGGGGGGGGGATTATAGTATAAAATAAATAGCTTTAAGTCAATGATGTTTTTTTTTGAATTAAGATTTAAAGATGATTTTAGATTCTTTCTTTCTTTCTCTTTTTATTTCTTTCTTCCTTTCGTTCTATTTTTCATATATATAATCGCGTTTAGCATTTAAAAAAAAAATTTGTTTACCTCCCTATATCATTTCTGATCGCCTGGTCGAGATCCAGGGTTTTATCCAAACTCATCCCCTTCATAAGCTGGCTAGTCAACACTTTACGAGTGGATAACTCTTTCACGATGGCGGGAACCGTGAAAAACGGATCGTTGGGCAACAATTCCAGCCTAAATTTTTCGCTAGAATTGGCCTCTCTCAAATAATCCACCTCTAAATGAAGTTCCTTCCTAAATACTTCTAAACTATAATCAAGGAAAAGGCCCGCGGGTAAAATATTGGTGTATTCTAACAGTGCTAGTAAGTTATCGACGTCGCTGTCTATGCTCTCGGCTATGCCTGAAGTATGTTTTTCGTTTTGTTATAAAATATTTTTACCACCATTATATTCGATTACAGGAAAGCTACCGCAACAAATGTGCACAAATATTCGTGGTAATTATAATATTTACAACACCCACAGCAAAAAAATTTTAAAATATTAAGACGAATGAATAAGAATATAATTTAAAGAAGATATGATTAAATGAATTTAGCTTTATAAATCATATAATTTCATCGTGAATTTAAAAAAAAATAAAAATAAGACAAATTCCCGAAACTATTCCCAAACATCAAAGATTTGTGAATACAAAAAATAAAATGATATAAAACAGTAAAAATGAAATAAGGTATGTTTTTTTGTTAAAAAATTTTTTATTTATTTTTCTGATTCTTTTAATTGATGATTTAATTTAAATTCAGAATTTTTCCAAAACTATATTCATATTAAATTTTGAATTCTCATTATGAAGTATCGTTGTTAAAAAGCCCGATATGGGTAGATTTTAAAAGAAAAAAGGCCAGCTTAAAATTTCGGACAAAATAATATTATGTAAGTGTGGTGATTTGTCGTCGGGCTTTTTAATAACACTATTTTGAAGTAAGGATGCTTTTATTGAATTCTCATTTTTATGAAAAAAAAATATTAAAATTCTTCAGTTACCCGGGTATTGAATCTTAACGGCCAGTTGTGTAGGTTCATCTATGCCTAGTGTGGCTAAAGACGGATTATTGGGCAGGGAAAGCGCCTCGTGTACTTGGCCTATAGACGCGGCGGCGAAAGGTTTATTGTCGAAGGAGGTGAACCTTATTAAAAAAATAAGGATTGCGAAAGTTTATTTAAAATTGCAAGCGTCTGTTTTTCCCTGAAAATTATAGTTTCTTTTATCCTGGATCGAAAAGGACACAACGTACCTTTAAAAACCAATATTTTAACCAAAAAATAGAACGCAAGAAAAGGTTTGAACATCTGTGAGACTTGCGTAACATTATTTTGGCTTAAAATAATATTTAAAGAGCTCTAAGTATCATCGGGCGAAAAAGATTTATATATAATATATAAATCATTGCCAATTATTTCCCTTATTTTTATCTTCTTCCTTAAACTAAGGACAAATTAAGATTAGGACTGTTTAAACATTAAATCAAACACAAATAAGTATTATATTACAAATTTTAATTTTATTTTTTTTAAAAAAAAAAACTTCTTTCGCCATTCCGGACCCATTTCGCTTTCTAGAACTTTCTGAGTTTGAGATGGTGGCATAAAGTCTGCGCCCTGTCTGACCCTTTCAAATATTTCCTGGAGTTGGGGGCTAATAAAGGTATTGTCCTGGATACTGAGCATTTGACCAAATTTTAGCGCGGCACCCCTAACTTTGCACAAGGTTTCTACTATGCGCTCAGCATTGCTTTCGTTCAAGAAAATGTTCTCCGGAGTTATTCGTGAATCACCATCTGTGTTGTCTATTCCTTAAAATGGTGTAAAATTTTTTTGTCATAATTTGTTTAGGTTAGGGCAAAGGGGGGCCACTATTTTCAAAATTTCGAACATAATTATTTTAATTGTATTAAATTTATTTTAGAAACCTGCAGGCCCGGCTCAGCCCTAAACCCGACCCGGAGATATCTTAAATTGCTACTATTCGATATAAAACTTAAAAATAATAAATATAATATATTTTATAAAAAATGGTACCTCTCCAGGTTTCTGATTTATTTTTTTTAAATGGCGCCGCCGATAGAAATATTTTTAAAAAACGACAAAATCGAATTTAAAGCCAGAAAAAAAAATTACCTAAACTTTCTTTTCTTTCTTCTCTACTTTCTTTCAACCCAAGATCAAAAAGTTTCGCAAATTATTTTTTTTTTTTAAAGTCAAAGATTTTAAAAATTTAAAAAATATATTATTTTAAAAGATAATATAAGTGATGAGGAAATAGGCCTCGGCGAAAATCTGGGGCAAGATGAGAAAGAATAGGCATATCTATAAAAAAAATGGTAACAATTGATGGCGTAGGTGTGCATATCATGATTTATGACGCCATTGTGATTGATGGTTGAATAGGTCGTTTTTAAACAAAAAATTATAACCCTTTTTTGCACCTAAAATAAAAGGAAAACTTCATTCTGAGAGTTAAGAAGATAACTCAGACACATTTGCACTGGTCTAGCTCCTTCAAAATAATATGCAACTTTCTCCATCTTATTATGACAACCCTTACACCTCTTTTTTTGTATAAAATCAGATGGCCGAGTTTTAGTTTGTACCAGAAGTTTCGAGAAAGATCTATTTTAAGATCCTAATCATCACGCATATATATATCTAAGAAGTTGCTAACATAACCATGACACTCTAGATCATTATAATAATAATTTTCGAAAATATTTAAGCATATATAACTAGATTTAAAGAAATCATTATTTTGCCTCAATCAATCTATAAATTTAAGCCATTCCTAATCCAAGAATCTAATGTTATCAAATAAACATTTTTGGATATATTTCATTTTTCCACTTTAAAAAACTCTTGTACTTTATAACATCTAGCCATTCTGGCTAAAAGAGTAAAGCTACATTCATTGGTTATCCATCATAATAGGATATCGTTATTAATTGGATATAAATTATTGGACAAATATACTTATAGCCCATTCTTCTTAAGGCTTTCTTTAATTATTTTACTTAAAAAATTATTTCCCTTAATGCATAATATAGTAATTAATCAAGCTTATTGGATAATCTTTAATTAATCAAATTCATTAATTTCTTCAAATTTGTTATCTGCATTTTTATATCCATCTTCTAATGCTAAATATTACTCTTCTCTATTCATTAAAACATATTAAGGAAATCACACTAATACTCATTAATGGATGATAAAAAGCAATAGGCAATATTTAATTTATTATAAAATTTGCTTACTAAATATATAATAAAAAATGGTATGTCAGTATTTTTTGAGGAAACATTATAAAGAACAGACCATTTGTAATAATTTTAAAGAACAGACTGGGATTGGACAGGATGGAACCAACATCCAGAAACATCTGGATAAACTTTTCCCATTTACTAAACAAAGATGTGAAACATTTATCTTTTGTTTATGATTAGTTATTTGTATGAAATAATATTTCTAACATTATTTTTAATTGCTTTGACTTGAAAAAATATTAATTCGGTGAACTAGTTGGGATTATATAATATTGATTAATAATTAAACATTTATAAAAATTATATAGATTAAATACCCAATTTTCTTCTGGCAATTTCAGCAAGAGCTCCTACACCTAATCCTGCAGCTAAACTACCATAATTAATTAAACGACTAAATTTTGTAGAAGGAATTTTGTTTTCTTTAGATTTATGTGATAAAGATTGCTTTAACTTCATTTTGATCAAATCTTTTTTCAATTTGATTTTATTTTCATCAGAAGAATTCTCATAAACATGAGATTTTAGTGATAACCCCATTGTTTTGTCCTTAGAAAAATATCGCACCAAATTATTTAAATTTAATATTTGTCTGGTATAAATTGTGCATTTTAATAAAAATAATGTTCTTTTTAATATGTGAAAGGATGTTTGATTTTTCACATTGAAATTAGCAAAATTAGTAAATGTATACATTATCCTTCAAATATTTTTTTTATTAAATAAAGTATTTTTTCTTAATAGATTAGACAATCTAGGAATGATAATAGATGATTTCTTTAAAGCACATACCTAAAAAAATATGTAAAGAAAAAATTTCAAGAATTCAAATAAATCTTTAAAAAATTGTCATATCATTTACTGAAATATAATAATTATAATTTTGATATTAAATATTGAATGAATATGCAAAATAATATATTATATTATACTTGTACTATTGCAATACACCTAAAAATAGGAATTTTACCATTATGCAGCAGATTTTGACAAATTTTCCCGAAAAATCCCATATGATTTTCTGAATGAAATTATATTTTGCCAATATTTAGCGGTCGGTAAATAGCGAATAGAAGAGGTAAAGATATAAATAGTTAAAATTATAAGTGTAGAAATTTTAAATAAATTAAATCCTGACACTATTTTTATTGTTGTGAAATTAAGTAGGTCTGGTTAGAGTTTTATATATCCCATAAGCTAATATTACTAAAATCACATCACCCTAAAGACAATATATAATATTTTAATCATAAAATGTGATACTAAATATTTATGTTTACTATGTTTCGCTAATTTATCTATCTGAAGTTTTCAAACTTCTAGACTATAATAACCCCCCACCCCCAAATACGATTTCCCGTCCATTGAAAATTAATATATTTGAGTTTATTAAATTGTGGCTTGTATTTCCTTCCTATCGTGACTATTGTATCGATTATTTTTGTTAGTTGTCTAATCAATTCAGTAAGCTGCCAAATTTTTAACAATAATTTGTAAATTTTAATAATATTATTCCCACTTTATTAGTCAGAAGATATTTCGTGAAATTTTATTTAATTTGTTAATATACATGTGGCGACATATCAAATTTTAGTATTAATCACTAGTGACTATCTTTAAAATAAATTTCCCACAAAAAAACTAGTTTTAAAAAATCTAGAATTTATGTATTTAGAAAAATAAAACATAAATAAATGCAGCGTCTACATGAGCGGGAGAGGTTGGAACATTTGCATCCTATTTTTTGAGGGGGGGGAAGGGTAGGCTGCGTTAATGGTGGTAGGATAAACTTTTTGGTGGTTATCTATTAAATTTTGACATGAAATAGGACAAAATTTATTGCTGTAAAAATTAATATTTTATTATAGAATTATTATAATACAATTCATCGATCTAATCTATATATTGCAAACAATCATACACATTGTTTTCCAAATAAAACTTTTTGCTATCCATTTAAAAGGTTTAGATATTTTAGCAAGCTCATAATGACATAATAATTAATTCATTGTAAATAATGGAAGTTTTAATTGAATTTATTATCTAAAAAAAAATTCTTTATATTCACAAAATATCGATAGTTGTTAGTAGAGATAGATTAATTTAAGGTAACATAGATAAATTATCTGAAAAGAGTATCAATAAAAAGATGAAAATAATAATAGATTGACACCGCCACCGAAGATGGTTAAATTTTTTAAGGGGATAGGCAAAGGTTTTTGAAGGGGGTTTGCATCCAGTGCTGGATAAATGCACAACAATTTACCTATGAATTATTACAGACATATAAACTCAGAAAGTATTCATGAAAGAAAAGGGACAAAATATGATTAAAAAGCATAAATGTGAAATTCAATTTTTGGGATTGAGTTGATTTTTATATCATTTCCTAGGCACTTCATGTTAACTCTCTAGTAAATTGAGAATTGTTATCACATTCAGTCTATTTTTAAAGATAGTACTTCTTCTCAAGCATAGGCGCAGCTGGAATGAGGGGGATTTGTCCCTTCAAAAATATGTTATTTTTTGTGAATATCATTTTTAACTATTAAAGAATATCCTCTACATGCCTCCATCTCCAACTCCTGTCCCCTAAAAATGTATTCATATATCTGAAATAATAATTTGAAAGAAAGAATTTAAAATTTAATAATTTTTTAAACTAAAATCTATTATAATTCATATTTCAACCACACCTAATACCGATATCATTATATCCATTTCAACAGCGAATTCCATCAAAATCATAACTATTCCTGATATAAATGAAACTACAGCTATTAATGATTCAATAAAAAAACACACCTACCACTAATATGGCATTGACACATCAACTAATAAAACCACAACAACTATTCTTAATAATAAAACCATGACATTTATAAATAATACCATTTCAATTACATCTAGTATTGATAGTACAACAACTACACTTAATATTGATACTACAACCTCCACAACTATTACTGAAACCAAAGAAAATCAACTTTCTGTTACAACGGCAATACCTACTAAGGCTACCCCCCAAAAATATTCTACTACTAATATCTTTACAACTATATTTACTAATGATACGACACCAATCGCATTTAGTGCTGATATATTAGCAACAGAATCTACTATAGATATCCAACCAGATCTAATATTGGAAACTGTAACATCCAACGATTATTATATCACAGCAGCCATTAACACCTTTGATGCAATAATCATATCTAACACTGAAACTATAACATCCACATTTACTATTGATGTCACCGCAACTGCATCAACTATTGATATGATAAAGATTTCTCACAAATATATTTTATCCATATAGAGGCTAAATAAACCCAGCTGAAATCCGGTTTTAGCGGGCTGAGGGCCTGTTAAATTGGGGGTCTGGGAGGAAAAATTCCAGTAAGTTTTTAACCCCCTCCCTTGGAAATTGGCTACACCTTGTTAGGTATGTTCTTATTTTTCTTAAAGAAGAAAATATTCTTTTATTGGTGGAAGTATTAATAGTTTTATTTGCCCAAATATATAATATTTTGATATATTAGGAAAATAGTCAAAAATGTGTTAAATTAGGATAATTATACAAAGCATCATAACATTTTATCGAACATTATCAACTGTAATTAACCTTCTATACCATAGTTTGTATTTAGCTAGATGCATCATAGGATACTTTAACTACTTCACAATATATACCAAAATTTAATTTTTCCTTATCAAGATTTGAAATAGATTGGTAGAGGTTCTGCGGCAATAATATTTGCAGAATTGTCGATAATTGAAGAAAGACCTTTAGTTCTTTTGGATAATAAACTTATCCAAGAAGGGGGACACTACTGATTCTATGTAAGTTTTGAATGATAGGCTTTGCTGCGAGATGAGGTTGAAGAATATGAAATTCATCGAATTCTTCTTGCTCAACAATGACACATAGTATATGAAATTCATCATCCGCATTTGCACTAATTTCCTTAAGTGCGTAGTATCAATTTGTAATATACTAAATATCTGTTTAGAATAAAAAAAAAAAAAATAAGTGTAGTGTTATTAAACGGCTCGTTTTGAGCCGATTTTTAAAAACGGCTCACTCAGATCGATGTCATTTTTTTTCAAATATTTTACAGAAACGAGTGTTAAATTATTTTATTACATTCAAATGTAAAAAAAAAGATTTTTGTTGTAATATTTAGCCAATAATCTCTCTGCTCCTGGTGAAATCTCTTTTCCCAGACCATTGGGTTATTTCAGTAAGAACATTTATAATAAGCTCCTCAAACTCCATAATAGCTGTTATTTTTTAAGGTGAAGGTTTCATCTTATTTTTCAAGCATTTTGTAATATTTTTCCTCGTCGGTCAAAGAGTTTCAGTTATATTTCTGTTTAATATATTTTGTTTTATGGGATATCTAAAGTCTATATATTGTTTTTGAATTAATGTAATAATTATCGCGATTATCTTACTTTATTTTTATAAAAATTTTACTGAAAAATAAATCAGCTGTATTAGAAAAAATTGCATATCGGGTTTTAAACAGATAGTAAAATAGGCAATATAAGAAGGCCTCTTAAAAAGATGGATTACATAATATGTTGCATTTTATAGAAAAAAAAAATTTCGTGATAATTAAAATGATAATCTGAGTTTGAACATTGAAAATGATTACCAAACAATAAGTTCGAAGTCTGTATTAAAAATTTTATAATATTTGCCTTGTTATTTTAAATAAATAAAACTTATACCCTAATAGAATACATACTATTTCACTTAACATCAGAATGCATTCAATAATAAATTGATAATTTGAAGTATCCTTTCAAAACTAAAACTGCGATTATAAAGAAATGCACTTAAAGAAAACCGGAACATTTAACTTTAACTATCCATAGCCTATATTATATACGTTAGAGATCTGCAAATCAGGGCCAGCCCATACTCGGCCCGACCGGGTTTTAGGTCAAGCCGGATCGGGTTTCGGGACAAATAAAAAAAAGAGCTCAAGATCGGGCCGGGCTGGACAAATCTTTTAAAAAAAATTTCGGACTGGGCTTGAAAAATTGGGGCCATGCAGATCCTAGCGTATCCAAGGAAGGAGGGCAGGGAAATAAAAATTGTTTTTTTACCCGGTATACTCTCTGCTCTAGTGTTGTTAAACGGCTCATTTTGAGCCGATTTTTAAAACGGCTAACTCAATATTTTAGCCAGAAAAATATTGCTTAAGTCCTCGAGATTTCGATAATATATGCCTAGACCTTTGTTCCTTCTATTAGCAAAATCTTGAGGCTTGCGTAATATTTTTCTGGACGAAATATTGAGTTAGCCGTTTTTAAAAATCGGCTCAAAACGAGCCATTTAACAACACTACTCTGCACCCTCAGTTCCCTAAAAATAAATAAAAGATGTCAATATAAACACTAACTAACGCATTCTTTTTTAATCAAAAGCTTTTAAATAACGGGCCTAAAGCCTCCTTAGTTTCTTGTGAATTAGAATTAAACTTTCTTTCCAAAATATTTATAATAAAAAATATAAAAGATAATAAATACATCATAAATTGCAAAAAAAACAAAATACAGTAAAATCCATCTAGTATTAACGTCGTAGTTTATGAACAGGTAATTTATACCAAGATTTTTTAAAAAAAGATAAAATTATTAGAAACCCTACTGATAAACCGTAAAAAAAATGAGAAGACTTTGAGATTGAAAATACAAAGTTTAATACCCAAAATTTCTAGCAAAAAATCTTTAAAG